ACAAAAGAAGGAAAGAAAGAAAAGAAAAAAAGAAGGAAAGAGAGAAAGGAGAGATGATAGGAAACTAGAAGGCTGATCCTTTGAGATGGGGAGGGGATGGGGAAGGAGATAAAGGGAGAGAGGGTTACAGGGATTGAACTAACTAAGGTCTGTTATACCATGCTGCAATTCCTTGTCATTATTCTGTATTACAAATATCCTATAATTAACCAGTGAAATTCACAAACAGACTGAGAGGCAACTTGAAGATAACCTAGTGTAGCAGTTCTCACTAGCATTGTCTGGAGAGCTCTTATAAATACCATTATCTATGACTGCATTATTTTAATTTAAAGTAAATTAAAATACTTTAATTGTTTGGGAATAAGTTCTCGACATTTAAAAAAAAAAATCTCCAAGCAGGGAATTTGTTCAAACAGGTTTAAAATTGCTGGTAGAATCCTACCCCAACCACTACAAAACACCCCTCTCCTTTAGCCCTCACATTTTATTGAATAAATTTAATGATGTAGATATGATTGCCTTATAAGGCAAAAGATTTAAACTTAATCACTTTATGTGTTATGAAGCTCATACTCTTCTGAGACAAAGCCCATGCCGCCCCCATGGTGAAATGCTTTCTATTTTTCAAAGGCTCCTGAGCTTCCTTTCTATGCTCAACATCCTCTGCCAGCCTTCAGCTGTGTCATGGGGGACGTTTAGCCATCATGTTTGCCATTACATGCACCCCAGTCTGTCAGCGCAGTCCTTCAGGACTGATCTTGACAGAGCAGAACATGGCAGAACTATTAGTTTGTCCACTGTTCATCTAAAACACACTGAAGGCCTTGTAATTTGGTCATAACCAATTTCATATTCATTTAATATCCAATTAAGTGCCCCTGGGCATCTCCATGTACTAGGCATAATAAATACAAGAATTATAGTATTAAGCTGAATGCCATCTCTGATGTTAAGGATAAAGAATTTCTTACTTTCTTTAATTAATTAATTAAGCAACCAACTTTCACTAAGTGAATCCTCTAGCTTTACTTGATGAAGTGTGCTACAAGTAAGTCCAACTGGATTAAAGTCCTGAGTTCAAATCCTAACTCACCTCTTGTTACATAAGAAAATGATTTATTTTCTAATTTCCATGATATTAATATTATTGATCTGCAATACATCAGCTCCCTATGGCTTAAAGTAATCATCTTTAAAAGTAAAATAATAGCATCTCCATCTATCTCACTGAATTGTTAAAATGACAAACAGTAATAAAAGTTAAAGGATTTTTGAAATTATAAATAAGTAAATAGATTGTCTTGAGCAAAACAAAACTCCTTTGTAGGCAAAGATTAGACATTGCAGTTTCATTATCAAAGAAGCATGAGACTATGAGTGATTGTAAAACTACTACAAATAAGCTCATATTCCAAAGCTTTCACATGCAGACAAGAATCATCACCACCATCATTCTGGCTTTGTCAGTGAAGACTGATTTTCTTTCACAGGACTCTAAGAGGACACCTTCCCCTAGATATCAACTTCAGAGGATGCATGAAGGGTTTCCAGTTCCAAAAGAAAGATTTCAATTTACTAGAGCAGAAAGAAACCCTAGGAGTTGGTTATGGGTGCCCAGAAGACTCTCTTGTAAGTATCATTCCTCAAAAGCTTTCAAATAAGTAGACACAAAGCTCTCAAAAACTGGAAAAACCCTTTTCAGCTTTTCTGTAATCCTTGGTACATCTTGGGTTCCTTTCTGCCATCAGCAGAAAGAAAAATCATTAGCTAGAAAGGGGTGTGGGGCTCCTGTGTGACTTGTGCACTTGCTTCAGTTTGCTGTAGGCAGGGCATCAAAGCCTAAGAGGTAGATGAGCACTGCTGTCACTCAGCGTGGATGAAGGGGAGAAGCTAAAACCCCATGTGTTAGAAAAATACTGAAGGAAGGCTGGGTGTGACTGAATTCCAGGGTAGACCAGAAGTCAAACCAGAAACTCTTTATATAGAATCAAGGCCCTTTGTGTATGGGAAATCTACATTATAAACATTTATTAATTATCCAAACCACTATATTGACTTTTTATCACATAGATATCTCGTAGAGCGTATTTCAATGGACAGAGTTTCATTGCTTCAACTCAGAAAATATCTTTCTTTGATGGCTTCGAAGGAGGCTTTAATTTCCGAACGTTACAGCCAAACGGCTTACTGTTTTATTATGCTTCAGGGGTAAGTATTTGTTTCATCTGAGGAAACTTCTTGTGACAATCATTTGGTCTGTTAAAAACAAACTTATTCATATTAAATAGATTTCCAATTCAGATTTTGACTCCGTGCAATAACAGAATGCCTCATTTCAAATTCTTTAGGAGATATGTGCATTGTACAACGGGAGTTCTTTTTTGTCAACATTCCTAATTTATTTTTTATCAGTATAGGTTTGTGATACATAATAACTACATTCGTTTTGGGGAATCAGCTCACATACGTATCACTTCTTGATTGCCTTTAGTTCCCTTCCTCACCCACTCTCCTCTGTCTCCATTCTTTTGCTTTTCTTCTTTCTTCAATATTATTTTTATTGGTATATGTGTGCATTACACAATGATTATATTCCTACTGAGGACTTGGTACATAGACATAACAGCTCTCAATTCTTCTTTCATCCCCTTTGCTCCCTTCCCTTCCTTCTCCCTCCATCTCTTGACCCCTTCCCATTTGAAGAAGATCTCCCTACTCTCTATTATCTACCTTTTATGTTGCTCTTTATTTATATTTTGGGGATTCTTATATAAGAGAAACCATTTGATATTTAAGCTTGTGTGTTTAATTTACTTCACTTAACATCAAGGTCTCAAGGTATATCTATTTTCCTACAAATGACTCAAGTTGCCACAATTTCTTTATCTATTCACCTATTGGTGGGTTTATAGGCCATCTCTGATGTTTAACTATTATGAATTGTGCTGCTATAAACATGGATATTCATGTATCACTTTAATACAATGTCTTTCACTCTTTCAGGAAAATACCTAGAAGGGGCATAGCTGGATCAAGTGGAATTCCTAGCTTTAGTTTTTTAAGGAATCTCCACACTGATTTCCATATTGGTTGTACTAACTTATATCCCCACCAACAATGTAGAAGGGTTCCTAAAAAGTAGAAGGATTCTTACAATGTAGAAGAATTCCTTAGAGTTTCTTAACCTGGGATTCATAGGCCCACTTCTCACAGGATTCAAGGGAATCTGTGACCTTGAATGGTAAAAATTACACCTTTATTTTTTCTTAATGAAATTTGTCATTTTCTTCAATTACTAATGTGGCAACAAAACACATTATAGGTATTAACAGTAACTATAACTTTGTCATTTAAAGAAACACAAATATTTTTCATTTGACATTGCAATTGTCACAGATATCTGAAAATATCATTTTTGATCATTTCTACTTCAAATTGTAGAAGTTATTACATCTTCTACTAGACCTTATTAATGCCTCAATAAAGAAGTATACATTACTATATCACAGATATATTGTTTTAATATTTTGAAAACCATGTATCAGTATACTTGGTTTCCTTCCTATGCCTAAATATATTGCCTTGTATGTTTATAAATATTATTTTATGAAGATGTCCACGTGTATCACCAAACTGCCAAAAGCATTCACAGCATACACACACAAATGCTAAGGACCTCTGTATGTGAAGAACACACTTACAATTTAATTTATAGGAAGAATTTAGATTTTTCTCTGCTTCTGGATTTGCTATAAAACATTTTAGCTCAGTTTATAAAGACATTATAAGTAGAGTAAACCTCTGTAGAAGTTTTTTTGACCCCAAGATATGATATATCTCTGAAAAGGTCATCACCAGTATATACTCTGTGGGCCAGGCCACAATGTAACTATGAATGCAGCTTTTACTTTTCATATTTATTATGAAATAATAATATCATTCTATGTCACATTTACATCTACTTTCATTTAAATCAGCAGTATCTGTGAGGATTAACCTGAAGCATTTTGAAGACTTCTGCCCCAAAACCTGCCTCAGATTCACCCTGGTTAGCTAAATAACATTTTTGGTTACAAAAAGTAGTCATTTTGGATAGAACTCAAAGTGTCATTTGCCAATATCTTAAGACAAGCAATAAACAAATTCAGGAAAAGAAGTAACTTCTGCTTTTTGAAATCTCTCTTCTGTCCCTGTGGTTGAAAATGAAGCATTCTCAAAAACCCAACTAACAAATTAACTCTTGCCTCTTCATCTAGTGACAGATTCAAATATTTTCTTTTCAAAAGGGATTAATAAGAGTGATGCAAATTCCTGAAGTGGAAAGTAATTGATCCTGGAACACCTAAAAATCACCAAAAAATTAAAAATTAAATATTCAAAATATATGAATATCTTTTTTCCATTAAAACGTGTAATTTTATAAACAGTGCCAATACAAGCAAAGCAGGGCTTTTTCTTGTTGTTAACAGAAATGATTTACAAACAAATTTTCTGCACATCACGTGGCTTTAAGTGATACCAGTGTTGAAAATGTATCCATTTGGGGCCCCTGGACTCCCTACTGAAACCCTTCCATTTGCGTTTCAGTCAGACGTGTTTTCCATTTCTCTGGATAATGGTACCGTCACCATGAATGTGAAGGGGACCAAGGTGCAGTCATCAGATAAGCGGTACCACGATGGGCTGCCCCATTTCATCATCACCTCCATCTCACCTACAAGGTACAGCTCCACGTTTATGTTCTTCCTTTTACATCCGTGTTCGTAGGCCATGATTCTGTCAAGTGCCATGATGAATAATTCATTATTCTCTTTCTTCCCTGATATTTAAAAAGTGATGGAAAGAACAACTTAACTTCTTACAAAAAATTGCAGGGCTGGTGATATAGATCAGAGGTATAGTGTTTGCCTCAAATATAGGCAGTCTTATATTTCATCCTTGAATAAAATTGCTATTAAATTTTGAGATATGCCCAGAAAGTCACCATAAAGTTACTTCACAGGAACATAGGAGTATTTTTTCCAATAATGTTGATCAACTGTAACCTCTCTGAGGGCAGCACCTCCTCACATTGTTCACTGAGGACAGCCAGAAAGGTGCACATAGAAGAGCTCAGCAAATATTGGTCATGTTTATATTTTTGAATTAAATATTTGAAGACACTACATTTGTGATCACACTGTAAAAGGTTTAACTTTATTTTCGAACTGTGTGATACTGAATTAGTTTTTCATACTAAGAAAATTTTTGAAATGGAAAATAAACCCCTATTGTAAACAGCTGCTCTTCTATATCCACTTCTGTGGACATCCATCAAAAACAACCATTTGTGGGTTTTCTCTGGATTGCATTTCCAGTAAAGAGTAAAACCATCCAGTGTGCTTTGTGATGAAAAATGGTACCCAGAAATGTATTTAAATGAGCATCATGGGGTATGATCATTTTTCTCCACCAAAACATAATGTGCACGACTCATCATCTGGCCTTCCTGCTGTAGGAGTTTGAAGTCCAGTCTTGGCGTGGAGGACCTTTGCCTCATGTAGAAACATTCAGCCATCCTGGGCCTTGTGAGGGGCCTGGCCGTTCTTTGCCCTCTAGATAAGCAGATGTTCCACTTCAGTCCATGGGAAAAGCTGCTTATTCACCCTAGAGCAGAACTCAAGGTAAAATGGTACCAGTGTGGTTTGTGAAGAGGTTTTTCTTTTGCAGGTATGAACTAGTAGTAGATAAAAGCAGACTTGGGAGTAAGAATCCTACCAAAGGGAAAGCAGAACAGAATCAAGCGAGTGAAAAGAAGTTTTACTTCGGTGGCTCACCCATCAGTCCCCAGTACGCCAACTTCACTGGCTGCATAAGTAATGCCTACTTTACCAGGTATACTGTTTTTACTATCAATGAATTTATGTGATGAGAAAGAAGATCAAGACACTAGTAAAAATATTAACATTAGAGAGTAATAAATAAAAGCTTATATGTGCATGTGCAGCTAACATATTTTGGTTTGTGTGATATTTTACTTTTGTATGACTGTCACTAAGTAAACCATTTCTTCATCTAAAAAATGCAGATAACAATAGTATCTGTTTGGTGAACTTGTTGTAGGAATAAATGAGATAATATGCAGAAAGCACCTTGACTAGCACAACAAACCACACAACAGGCTTAAATATTAGATGCAATTATTTTTGTACTTATTGTTAATTGTATACTATTACTGGTATATTTGAAAATCCTTCTTCAAAATTTAAGAAAGTCTTCTTAATTTAATGCATGACTTTAAACAAAGCCATTAATCTAAGATTTTAACAAAGAAAATGAGGGCTCCTTAAATACAAGAACAAGCAAAGGAAGAATTTAATAGACTAAAAAACACATAGGTGGCCTCAGTAATTAAACAGGGTGGTCAGGGAAAAGATGTTATCAGCCAGGATCTGTATGCCAGGCATAGAGTTCTTAATTAACTGGTTGAATGATAATTTCAAGGATATAGTTAAGATGACAGGTTAAAACCCATCACACACACACACACACACACACACACACACACACATACACATACACACACATGCATGCATTTCAATTGCTGAAGTTCTTTGGCATAGTTTTATCATATAATTCTGAACAATATTTTTAATGTTATTTTTGCTTTGCTCACAAACACAGGTTGGACAAAGATGTGGAGGTTGAGGACTTCCAGCGGTATTCTGAGAAGGTCCATACTTCTCTTTATGAGTGTCCCATTGAGTCTTCACCATTGTTTCTCCTTCACAAAAAAGCAAAAAATTCCTCAAGGCCTAAGCCAAATCAGAATAAAAAGGTAAAAGATAACGCAGTGTGAATTTCCCACATATGCAATTTCCCATTGCCCTCATATGTCAAAGCACACAATTCTAGACATAGTTGCTTTGTAGATTTTCCTCCAATTTACAATTGTATATGTATGAAAGGATTCATGCAGTGTCAGATGTTCCAGTTTACCAACTTTGTTACATTTGTTCTTAATTTTAAAGATATCCTTTTAATCAGATGCTTATTCATATTCCCAATTATCTTTCATTAAAATTTTTCTTTTCTTAGCAAATTGTGTATATATTAATTAGTGTTATAATTCTCTAGTACCATTTGATTTCATGCCACAATCTCAGGCTTTTGTCACAAATGTATTAAAGTCTGGAATTTATTAAAGTCTGTGATGTTACCCTAGTTCCTTCCTCTTTGCTTGACCTTCTATTCAACCACTCACATGCATAGGTGTATGACATCAACTAGATCTGCTTCATCATCAAAATCTTCTGTTCTAAAGTTCCATTCTCAGGCTACTATTCTTTCTCATTCATTCACTCTTAGTGTACATGTTATTTGTCTTCATTACAAATGAAAGCCCTAAACTTTTCTCATCATTTCACTCTAACACCCCCACCCCTTTCATGGTTCAGATCTAACAATGCATTCAGCTTTCAGGACCCCCATCCTGGCCTATGCTACCATCATCTCTCATGGGAGTTACCGTAGTCCCCACACAACTCACCATTTTCCCAGAGTCTATTCTCAACACAACATCCAGCCCTTATAAATGTCACTGCTCTAATCAACATGACCCACCCACTGCACTCAGGAAAAGCTCACATCCTTACAGTTCCTAAGAGACCCTATGAGGTCCAGGCCCCCATGCACTCACCTCCCCACAGCAGCCTCATGACAATCACTGAAGTCGGCCACATGCAGTCCTACCGTAGGATCTGTATTCAAGCTTTCCTCTGCCTGGACCACTTTCCCCCGAATATCTATTTCTTTTTTTTCTGGCACCGGGAATCAAACTCACGACCTCATGCTTGCTAGGCAGGCACTGTGCTGCTGAGCTAAATCTCCAGCCCCAGCCCCAAATATCTACATAGACAACTTTTCCTCTTTCTGGGATCACTCACCTTTCATCTGCTCGAAGAGACCGACCTTGACACCAACTTAACGCTGCAGCCTGCATCCTGCCTCCTACAAGTACTGCTGGTCTCTTTTGCTTTTTTCTAGTACTTGATTTTGTTTTCATAGTGAAAAATATAGCTGTGAAGCTTAATGTAACTACATTAAGGCACAGGAGGCTAGCTAGGTGTAGCTTCAGTAGCTACCAAACAAACCATTAGCCTCTGGTTTTGGATTATAATACTTTAGTTTCAGTCACTTCCTAATATTCCACTTTATGCACTCATTATAATTCATTTATTAGGTTAATAAACTCTTAGTTTTTCCAGTTTACTCTTTTTATGAAGGTGAAAGTCCTTGAACATGAATCTTAGAGTATATTGCTGAATAAATCTCTAAGGTAGATTCCAGGAGGTAGAATTATTAGATCAAAACAAATTACTTTCTAAAATGCTAATACTGATTTATAATGATCTGTGAGTACTGGAGAATACCTGTCTCTCCAATTATGTTCCAAGCTTAAATTTTTAATAGCTTTTTGTTTAAACTTTAATTGGGAAAAGAACTTCTCGTTTGGTTTATAATGTAATAATGAGCACTTATGTGTAGTAATAGATAACAGTACAGAATATATTGGTCAGCTTTCCATACTAAAGCAAATCCTCTCACTTCATGGCCACCAGGAAGTAGAATGGAAGAACAGTGTCATAGAGACAGGGACCAGGAACCAGGCAGTTCCCAAGGTCACGCCTCCATGGCCCATCTAGACAACCCAGAAGTGTGCTTTACTAATCCCTTGAGGCTCTCACACCAAGCAAGTTTCCAATCCAGCCTAATTGTCCTACAGGGTACCTGGCCAACCAGTGTCTGCTCTAAGAGCTGGTCCCTTAACCACCTGGTGGGTCCTGTCTTTTAGGGTGTTACCTCCACCTGCTGCAGATAGAGGTAATCAGACCATTGTAGACCATGTGAACCAAGATGGACTATGAGATTCTCTTCCTGAGAAACACAGCTCAGAGAGACTAGCCTCAGTTGTAAATCTTGGTGTCAATCATGAAGAGAAAGAAAGCTGCTTTCTACAAAGAATGTAAAAAAAAAAACCTGTCCTGCAAAGAAAGCAGAATGAAAGCAAACACAGTAAGAAACAAAGCTGAATTCTCCAGAAAGGAGTTCCATGGTTCTAGCTTTCCTTTTCCTGGCCCCTGGTGGTACCCTGCTATGCTAGTTTGCCTTGCGTTGTGTAAGATCTCCCCAGTCCTTGTAACACATTTTCTTCAGTACTTCAACTAGCTTGGCTGCTATCTGACACACGAAGAGCAAAAACTTGCTAAATTGAAATTGGTTGTGATTCCAACTACTAGGCCCCCAGAAAAGGAAAATTACGTTGTTTAAATCAGAGTTTAGTAGGGTTGGATGAGAATCTCCACATATATCTCCATTTTAGGATAGAAAACAATCTCTGATGGTATTGAAGTAATTAAGTTATAATTTGACCTTTTGATCATTAAGAGCATAATACATAAAAGACTTCAAGTATTTGGTTTCCATATAAAAGATATAGTTTATTCACTTTTACAGCAGATAAGGTACAAACACTACTCATCTGTGTGTTCCTACACTGAGCCAGGGGAAGGCAAGGCTGGTCAGTGAGACTGTTGTGCTCCAAATGGCCCCATGCTTTGCCGATCTCCGGGAGTCTAATTCACTATTGCACTCTTCCATGACTAAGTAGATGCCTTCATTGAGAAAGAGCAAGATCCTCCCCTCTAAAAAAGGGAGAATAGGGTGCAGATAGTGTTGGGAAAAGTTCATAACCCCCTTCCCATCCTGTTCTTTCACCCAACTCCCCAGGCCCTGTCTAAAGCATTTCTGTCTGGGCCCCTCAGGTCATATTTCCTGCTATAAGATTCTGTCACAGTTGAAACACAGCATGGGTTTATACAGAAATTCTCAAAGCATATTAAAGGAAAAGGGTCCACCTGCAGCCTCACTGCAGCATATTCTGCCCATTCATGGCTTAATACTCTGGTCATTATTTATAAACCAAGGTGCGGACACAAAACTACTGCTAACTCTGTATTTTCTCCATCCGAGAGAGAAACTTCGCTTCTGCAGCAGTGAATCGGGTTCTGTGTTCTGATGACCATGTAAGGCAGGGAGGAGAGAACTGTGGGAGGAAGGTGGACTTTCTCTTGGGATGTGTTAGTCTTCAATCCCCGTCTCCCTCTCTCTAACCTGAACACGACTGTGAGGTTCTGCCTCTCTAGGACCCAACCGGAGGGTCTGCTGCTCTGGGAGCGGGGTATTCTACCTCACAGTGGGTCTGCCCTTTGTTTAACTGTCCCTCTACCCACCACCTGTGGGTTGTGAGGATGTTTCTGGAATTTGGCTGGAACACTGACTTTTCTGGAGGTCTTGTCTTTTGCCAATTTGAGATTGTTTTGTTTTTAGTCTTTTAATATGCATTATATCTTCCATAAATTACACACTGATTTGTTCTGCCAGTGACAAAACTCCTAGATTTTCAGTTCTTTTGCAGATATTATTTTTTGTTTTTTGAGTTTGTTGCTTTATTTTGTTTGTTTTGAGACAGGGTCTAGCTAAGTTGCCCAAGGGGAACTGGAACTTGAGATCCCTTGCCTCAGACTTCCTGAGTACTAGGATTATGCTGTGGGTTTATGTCCACGTGTATTCCAGCATTTCAGTGGGAATTTGGGACAAGGGAAACAAAATGTATGTTCGTATAAAATCCTGAACCAGAAATTGTCTTTCCTCATCTAATCCGCTTTCGTTCTGTCTCCTGCTGCCGAACATTTTCTTTCCTATAATCCCTTCCTTTGTTGCAATCTCTTATTTTTAACCGGGTCAGATCTGGGCACTCCCTTCTTTAAAAACCTGTGTGGCTCTTTATCACCTAAAAACAAAACTCAGTCTCTAGCACATCACTTCAGGTCCTTTCTGTCAGATATCTACCTGTTTTTCCAATTTGCTACTTACATGCCTATTTCTCCAGTTTGACTTTTAGATCTGTGGAAAGCAGGACCGGTTTCTCACCATTTTGTTTCTCACCATGTGGTGCCCCCGCAAGGCACGCAAAGCACTGACTTCTTTCCTTTTCCCTTCCCCCGATCCTCGATAAATACTTGCTTGAATAAGTGAATAAATTATTAAATGCTTGAATTGATTTGCATTTAGTTTTATTTTTCTTCAGAAATTAAGACGAAGCTATCATGGCTTTCCTCAGGATAGCCTGCCCTGTGTCCTCCAAAGTGTGTTTTTATCTTGTTTTTTCCTCTTCTACTCAGCTCAAGCTCTCTCTGAAGAAGCAGTTTCTCTCTTGTTTTTCATTTCTACTTTTTCAAATAAACTTTGTAAAAAAAAGAAATCAAGTCTAAATTGTTACGAAATATTAGCCTTTCACAACTCTTTAAATTTTAACATGAGCAGTACAAGCTGAAGTGCACAAATGTTTAAAAGTTGTTCTATGTTCATCCTGTCTCATAAGATCTTGCTATGTCCTATCACCAAAAATGTATTTTGAAGATATTGTTAAGTGTCTTAACTTTTTAGGTAGCATATATAAGTAATAATAATGTCTATGTTAAAGTAATCTTGTTGCCTATATGAGGATTTTATTGATTGATTCTTTCAGGGTTATTTTGTGGTCAACTTTTATATTTTCCACTATTATTTCAGGTGTGCATTTAATAAATGATAGAGCAGTTATCTCTATAAATTCAATTTCATGAATGAAAAAACACAAATAATATCCATTTTGATTATTATGAATGGTGAAGACATCAAAAATTAATTTTTGCTTCTAGTATATGGCTCTTATCCTTTAATTGGATATGTTTCCTATTTTCATAGGGAGGGAAAAGTAAAGATGCACCTTCATGGGACCCCGTTGCCCTGAAATTCCCAGAGCAGAATGCGCCACGGGACTCTCACTGCCACCTGTCCAGCAGCCCAAGAGCGATAGAGCACGCCTATCAGTATGGAGGGACAGCCAACAGCCGCCAGGAGTTTGAACACTTAAAAGGAGATTTTGGTGAAAAGTAAAGTAGCACATTGTACTTCCAGAAACTTCATTCAGTGCTCTGTCCTCGTTTTCCTCATTCTCTTCTATGCCCTGGTCTTTCTTTGCTGTGCCACCATAATCCTATTATTTTGCCATGGGAGTATATAGAAGTAGAATGGGATTCATGCATTTCAAGGAATTATATTCTGTGTGACTTTCTGCGCAAGCATAAGGTCCATGAAACAGTGTTATTTCAGGAGTTCATCGTGTCTGATTTAAAAAGGAAGAGGGAGCAAATTTCAAATGACTGAGCTCCTAACTCTGACATCATCTTCCCTCCCACACACCAGCTACTTTTGGACTCTAAATGGGAATGCACTAGAACTGCTAGGTTACTAAGGAAAAAGACCAAAAGTACAAACACCCTTGTCTGCCTCTAGCCTGCCAAATATCTCAAACCCTACCACTTCTTCCCATTATTTTACAAATCTCCAGTTATTTGATATTATTATAGATTTATTTTTATAGTTTTAGCATGTAAATATTAGTAGGTAGGCATTATATACCTCTTTTAAGCATTCATACAGGCAGTGCATTTGACAAGAAATCTCCAGTGCATTCTAATTTGCTGTTTAGCTAACAGGCAGAGTAAATGCTTTCTATACTTCAGCAAGAATTAAAAGCTAATCAAAATAGAAGTTAACCTAACAAATACATCTTGTCCATACTGGAAGCTAACTTTCTACAAAGTTTTCTTTTTTATATGCACATTTCCACACATGTAGGTAGCTGCTTTTAATATGTGATGTCCATTAGTTCAGTTTTACTAGGAAAAAAATCAGTAACTTAGCATATAAATGTTATTTCTATGCAAGTAATATTAATTACTCAATAGTATTTTCTCCTCACAGGTAAGCTTCCTTAACAAATTTTAACTAAGTTGCAGCCAGTTTTCAAAGCAAAGCAAAATAAGATTTTTAATTAAGATAATACTTTCATAAACATGTAATCTATCCCTGTTGAATAAGGAAGTGGGAAAAAGTTACATTTGTTAACTGACCATGCTTACCTGTAATCATGAATAATCCTAACAGATGGTTACAAATAATGCTGCTGAGAGTTAGAATGGCTGTTTATTCTGCTTTATTCCATATTACTTTGAGAAGCTAAAGATTATCCTCAATCTCATTTTACACATGGTGAGCTTCAGTTTATTTCTTACTTACCAGATCTCAGTTTTCCATTCGTCTGAAAACTCGGTCCTCCCATGGGATGATTTTCTACGTCTCAGATCAAGAAGAGAATGACTTCATGACCCTGTTCTTGGCGCATGGCCGACTGGTTTTCATGTTTAATGTTGGCCACAAGAAACTGAAGATTCGGAGCCAGGAGAGATACAATGATGGGCTTTGGCATGATGTAAGTCGAAGTAGAGAACAGCACTGTCAGTAGATTTCGGCCATCGTCTGGGGAATGACCTTGACCTCCACCACTGGTCGCGACAGAAATACCTATTCAATATATTCTGCTGCTGTATAATCAGAGTTCAGTTTCAAAAACGTTAATTCCTTATAAAAATCTTGAAGCATACTTTTTAAAAAGAGACGCAGACTGAGTATAAGTGTTTTAACCAAAGGAAAAGTAACCAACATGAAGTTTGGTTTCTTTTTTATTAATATATATTTGCAATAATAGTCAGTACATTTGTTTTGGGAAAGTGGATATATATGTATGTATAAAACACATTGACCATTTTTTATCCCTTTCCCTGCCTCACCCTTTACTCAGCTCCTCTTCCATATTTCCAAAATAATCTACTTCCCAATTTTCTCTACCTTCATTTTGCTCTTTATTATTATTTATTAATTATTTTATTTTTATTTTTATTTCAGTTTCTCATATGAGAGAAACTGCAGTATTTAACCTTTGGTAGATGCTTTATTTCACTTAACATTATGGTCTCAAAATCCATCTATTTTCCTATCAATGACTCATATTTATCCTTCTTTATAGCTGAGTAATACTCCATTGTGTATATATACACCACCTTTTCTTCATCTTTTTATCAGTTGATAGTTAACTAGTCTGTTTCCAAAATTTAGCTATTGCAAATTGCACTGCTATACGTAGGTATTCATGTGTCTCTGTAGTATGATAACTTTAGCTTTTGGGGGAAGATACAAAGGAGAAGTTTATAGAGATCAAATGAAATTCTATTTTTTTTTTTTTTGAGGAATCCCATATTGATTTCCATAGTGGTTATACTAGCTTACATTCATCACCAATGTAGAAGCTTTCCTTTTCCCCATATTATCACTAGCATTTTTGTTTTTGTGTCCTTGATGTTAGTCATTTTTACTGGAGTAAGATGGAATCTTAGTGTTGTTCTTATTTGCATTTTCCTAATGACCAAAGATGCTAAACATTTTTTCATGGCCTTTGGCCATTTGTACTTCTCCTTTTGAGAAGTTTGTATTTATTTCAATTCTAATTTTTTAAGTTAGTTATATATTCCTGATATTAGCCCTCTATGAGAGAAGTAGCTGGTAAAAATTTTTTACCATTTTGTCGGCTGTGTCTTCACTCTGCTGGTTATTTCCCTTGCTGTGCACGACTTTTTAATTTGATATAATTCTGTTTATTTTTTATATTATTTCTTGTGCAATTGAGATTTTGTTCAAGAAGTCATTATCTACGCCTGTGTCTTCAAGTGTTTCACCTATTTTATCTTCCAGAAGATTTAGTGTTTCTGTTTTTACATCTAGATCTTTGGACCATTTTGATTTGATTTTAGTACAGGATGAGAGATATGGGTCTAGATACATTCTTCCACAAGTGGACAACCCATTTTCCCAGGAACCTTTGTTCAGGAGGCTATCTTTTCTTTAGCATCTGTTTTTAGCCGCTTTCTAAAGATCAGATGGCTAACGATGCACAGGGTTGTTTCTGCACCTTCCTTTTTCTTCCATTAATTGTGTGCCAGTTCCATACTATTTTCATTACTACAACTTTATAGTATAGCTTGAAATCTGGAATTATAATGCCTCTCACATTGCTTTTTTTCCTCAGGGTTGCTCTGGATATTCTAAGTCCCATCTTACTCTATATAAACTTTAGGACTCTTTTTTCTAGTCTTATGAAGAATGCTATTGGTATTTTGATTAAAATTGCATTACATCTATATGTCATTTTGGGTAATATGGCCATTTTGACAATACTGATTCTGCCTCTCCAAGAACAAAGATTGTCTTTCCATTTTCTTCGTCAATCCTTTACTTCAGAATACTATAGTTTTCATTAGAGAGGTCTTTCACCACTTAGATTAGATTTATTTGCAAGTGTTTAAAATTTTTTGAAACTATTATAAAAGGAGTTGTTTTCCTGGTTTCTTTCTCAGTAGGTTCACTATGGATGTACAGGAACACTATTGATTTTTTTGTGTTAATGTTGTATCCTGACACTTTCTGAATTTTTTCAGGTAAGAACCTTCTGGTAGAGTTTTCTGAGTTTTCTAGGTGAAAAATCATCTCATCTGCAAATATAGGTTGATTTCTTCCTTTCCTACTCATATTGCTTTTCTTTATATTGGCTGATTGCTTCGGTTAAAGTTTTGAGTACTATGTTGAATGGGAGAGATAAGAGTGAACAACTTTGTCTTGTTCCTGACTTTAGAAAGAATGCTTTCAGCTTTCCCCCACTTAGCATGAAATTTGCTATGGCTTTGTCATGAATTGTTTCTTCCAATTAAGATAAAGACCTTCTATACTTATTTTCATCAGTGTCTTATCATGAATGGGTATTGGATTTTGTCAAAGACCTCTTCGTTGAGTCTTTGTCTGGATTCAAGAATGTACTATTTAATCTTCATGTGTTTGTGTAGTTTCTGCAGTTTCTTCTGCTCTTAATTTCTAGGTTCTTCCCATTATGATCTGATAGGATGCAAAAGGTTACTTTGGTTGTTTTGCAATTATTGAGATATGCTTTGTGACCTAAAATATGATCCAGTCTGTGGCCCAGTTCACCTCTCCCAGCTTCCCCTTCTTTCCACTAGTACTTATGTCCCATTTCCACCGAGCCTTTCTCTGGCAGGCAACTTGAGTGGTCCCCTGTGGTCAGGCAGGAGCAGTACCTCCCTCTCCGCCTCTGCACAGTATTCTGTTAGCCTTTTCTCTGACCGCTTTACTCCTGAATTAAAGCAATACTCCTGCTTGCTGAATGTCAATCTGACCTGAAGTTTTAGTGGAAGCAAGAAATAGCTCTTCCAGGTGCTGATCTGGATTGTTTTCTTCGCCCCTCAGTGATCCTCTGTCTCAATTGTTCAGCTTTCTAAAGGGTCTTTTTCCAGCCCTTGAATTCAGTGGTATTTAAGGCTCAGTGGAAGAGAGCCTTTCTGTGTGGAATTCAGTAGCATGTCAGGGGCAGCAGGAGAGAGATCACACAGGCACAGAGCTCAGTGGTGTTTGGGGAATGCTGGGAGAATACCCACTTTAGTGTCTTTTCACCACCCCCAGGTCCCACCAGTAATAACTACTGCAAGCCCCTGTGGCTCTCACTGTCTTGTGGCTCCCTCAGTGTCTGGTTCCAGGTACCTAGCCAAGACCATGTCTTTTGCTTCTTTCTGTCCCTAGGGCTTATGTTTAACTCAGTCACTGCAGTCTAAGTGATTCTCTGACTTGCACTTTCCTTAGTGTGCTGATTTAAGGAGCCCCCATCTTGTGATTATCTTGCTCAGTGGGCTCCATTTCCCAGTGGTAGGAGGGTTAGAACAGCTGAACACTGGGTAGTGGCTGCCAGGCTGGGCACCAGTCAGTGTCCAGACAGCTGCCACTTTACTGGGCTTCTTCCCTCAGAGGAATCTGAACTTTTTCCAAAATGGCATGTTTTCTAGACCTGGGTGGTAAGGAGTGCTGGGATCATGAAGTGGTCCTGCTTCTTTTTCTAAACAGTCCTGTAATGGATTGCGTCTAATGGACATCTCCTTCGACTTGCCTTCCCATGGTTGGTATTTTGTCTGCTACTATACCACTATCATCCAAGTACCTGCAGACCTTGGCGAGGGACTTCTGAGTGTCTTGTGAGTGCTGCAGCCTCTCCAATGACTTCTTTACTTCTTCCATTGGTTTAAGGTTCTTAATTTTTAGTAATCATTATTAGTCTATCTATTATTAGTCATTATTTTCAGTAATCATATTTAGTCTATCAGGTTAAACTGTGGAAGACACAAAGTGAGCCAACCAGAAAGACAGGCTGACACAGGAGAAGCACCTAAATACTGGAAGAAATAATATTGGAAGAAATCAGTGCATGTATAAGAGAAAGCAATCCGAGATGAATTACAATTAGTTACAAATAGTTGAGGAGGGGAGAGAATATGTGGGCTGGTCAACTGGGAAGAGCCTCCTGGAGAAATCTGGTAAATAGAAGCTGTATTCATAAATTAGACCTGTATCTTTAAATCATTCTATCTACAGGTCAGAAAATGCATGGATCACCTCATACATAAAGTGGTAAGCCCAAGGTAAGCCAGAAAAACACATAACACATATAAAGCAAGGAGGAGGGCTGGGGATTTAGCTCAGTGGTACAGTGCCTGCCTGGCAAGTGCAAGGTTTTGAGTTCAATTCCTGGTACTGGAAAAAAATAAATAAATAAATAAATAAATAAATAAATAAATAAAGCAAGGAGGCTTGGCAATAATTTACAACAAAGACATATGTTATACATCAAAACAGAACAAAATAAAGGCTAAAGTTTCTGACATTCCTAAAACTAGACAGCCCAAAGGCTACTAAGCAGAGGAAAAGACAAAACTGACCATCAGAGAAGGGATCACTTTCTTATGAACTTTCTACAGATTCCCCACACCACTGCAATAGCAGAGACAACACAGTCTTTTCCCCAACCTCAAAATGTACCTAAGCTGTGCTATTTTCCTCCTCTCCATCTAGGTGATATTTGTTCACGAAAAAAGTAGCGGTCGACTAATCATTGATGGTCTTCGAGTGCTAGAAGAAAGTCTTCCTTCTACTGGAACAGCCTGGAAAATTAAGGGTCCCATTTATTTGGGAGGAGTGGCTCCTGGAAGGGCTGTGAAAAATGTCCAGGTAAACCAGGCACGATAAGGTAGAATCACTGATCTTTAGAACTGCAAGACCGCTGTTCAGTCAGCTTTCTCATCATTGAGTTGCAATACCCAACATCCATAATTTAAAGAAGGAAAAGTTCCATTTGGCTCATGGTTCTGGGGAATTCAACCATGGTCACCTGGCTCCAAGGCAGAAACAGCACAGTGGAAAGGCCTGATGGAGCAAAGCTATTCAGTTCATGGTGGCTGAGAAGCAGAGCGGGGAAACAGTGCTAGACAGGAAAGGGCTGGAGCCGTATGTAGTACCTGAGGTCTCAGCTCCAGGAGCAACCCAGACACACCCAGGAGCTCACTTTACTAATCTGATAGGTGTTTCTTACTCCAATAAAGTTGACAGCTCAGGGTTAACAGTCACAATTCCTAGTGCAGGTCCTCTTTTTACAAATTAGGAGACAAACTAAAATTTTTACTAGAGGTAGAACATCAAAGTGAGCTTTGTTTACAAGCTGTCTCTGCCCTGCGGCATTACAAAATCAGGAGTAATCTTTTGATTTTAAGATATAAGTAAGATTTTTTAAAATTTTAGAGGCATAAAGTATCATAAAAGTTAAGTCTCAAAAGAATATTATATGTTCAACAAGTACCTATACCTTTAATATGAAGAGATACCAAAATCAGAAGGCAAGTTGTTCCATTATTGTAGTTTGAAAAATAAATGTTTCAGGTCATGTAAACTATAGCTCCATTTTTGTTTCTTACTCACACTCACAATTTATAAATGTTCTAGGAATGTAAGAACTCCAGGGGAGAAAGGAGAAGATTGTAAGAAATGTTATTTTTGTAATTTAAAATTAAAAAATAATGTACTTTTCAAATTAGCAGTAAAAGTAATATATCAAAGGAATAATTTTTCTTAACATACAGATTTTAGTACAAACTACAAACACATTTCTGAGATTTATTAACATATGTATATACAGCAAAAAGGGGGTTCACATTATAATTAAATTTTAGGTAAGCAAGGGGCTGGGAATTTAGCTCAGCGGCAAAGCGCCTGCCTGGCAAGCGCAAGGTCGTGAGTTCGGTTCCTGGTACCGGAGAAAAACCAAAACCAAAAAAAAAATAAATTTTAGGTAAGCAGCCCCAATTCCTTTTTTTAAAATGCAGTATGAAATTTCTTCTCTAAAGTAGCCCAATGTTCATATCCTACAATATAATAAATTCTCAATTGTATTAAGAGGTGATAGAGCCAGAAATATAAGTTTTGCCATGTTTATTTAGATTTAAGAGTTTTGCTAACCCTCATCAACATTAGTGATCTTGGGCATAGCTGTCATTTCTTAAGGAAAACAAACTGTAATGCTTTCAATATTTAATTTGAGAGCCTCAGCTGCAATTTGCTTTGCCATGGTATATGTAAGAATGTTTATAGCTTGATCATGACAAGCTGGTACTACTAAATACAAAATTTCAGGCTCAAAGAACTAGTTAAGGCTGGAGATATAGCTCAGTGGCACAGCGCCTGCCTGGCAAGTGCAAGGTCCTGAGTTCAATTCCCAATACAAAAAAAAAAAAAAGAACTAGAACAAGAACTAGTTAAAAATAACAACCTAGAGAAGTACTGATCATTCTGATAGCTAAAATAACTGAGAATTACTTGGTTTCCCTCCAGACACAAGCCCTCTCATTTTGCTTCTCCATAGTGCAGGCATTGAGAAAATGGATTTTAAGAAAAGTCTTCTTCTTTCAGATTAACTCTGTCTACAGTCTCAGTGGCTGTCTCAGCAGTCTCCAGCTCAACGGGGCCTCTATTGCCTCTGCCTCTCAGACATTTAGTGTGACACCTTGTTTTGAAGGTCCGATGGAAACAGGAACTTACTTTTCAACAGAAGGAGGATACGTGGTTCTAGGTAACATGCCTGTGGTCATTTAAACACAGTTTGTCCTCACCTGAACACCTGTTAATGTTCTTGCCCACTTGCCCTTCTACTTTCACCATGAGAAACTCACCCAGAGCTGCCTCCATGCTCTCAGCCTTTTCAGCTTTCAGAACTATAAGACAAATAAATCTCGTTTTTTATAAATCACTTAGTCTTACATATTATGTAATAATAACAGAAAATGGACTAAGACACTGGTTTATGCTGAAAGCATCAATCATGAAAGTACTTTTTCTCCCTAGAGATGGCTAACAGGGACTATTAGGCTCAGAGTGAAAACTTAATAATGTCAAACAGCCCTGGACGATCACCTCTTTCTGCTCCAAACAAAATATGCACCCTGCATCCCTGTTTGCCCTCCCCAGCAACACTTGTTTATAGCTCCCAAACTTCAGGATGCAGCCATCTTGGCTCCCTTAAGACCTTCCTGTGCTGTCCCGTGGTCTGATCTATGTCAGCTGGTGGTCATCTTGCTCCTCCAAGTAATCTGCTTCTTGTTAGTGTGAACCGTCCTCTCCATTTCTTTCCCTCGCCTTGCAGTATTAGCACACAACACTGTCCTTCAGGGGTCTTATTTCTGAATTTTCATACTCCTCAACCATTATTCTCTTGCTGTTTATTCCAGTTTTTATTATATTCTTCTTGTAAGGCAGTCCCTGCACCAGATGATGGAATAGGTCTAAAAATAAACTCCTAGAAGACTGCACATAGTCATTGTCCAGTTTATTCCAACAGACATTCTGCAGAACAATCGTAAGGTATAAAGAAGGTTCCAGAGGAGGTGATAGGAAGGAGGGTGCGGAAAGTATATAAACACATATTCCCTGAACTCAAGGCAATTAAGTACTCTGTAGAACCCTGGATGAATTATAATGCAACCAAGTATACTTTCTTGAACAACCTCGCTTGTCCAAAAGAGTAAGCAGAGGAAATTTTTATGTAGCTCATGATTTTACTTTCTCCTGCCCCGCCCCCTCCTCTTAGCCCTTCATTAAGTTACAGTGATAAGAACTTTTAACAGTTTGGACAGTTTGAAATGTAGAGCAAACTGTATGACTTATGTATGCTATATTCCATAAATATTAATGACAGGAAATTTTTCAGAGTGATTTATAAAGAGATGAGTCAAGTGGACACTATTAAGATGCCCAGCTTACAATGAGCCTTTTGGAGTGAACACAGCTGTTCATAGTAAGAATTACTGTAGATCCCCATGATAACACCTCCTAAATACTTTGACGGCACTTACTTTCTCCTCTGAAATGCTTTGCAGCAGCGGCACCAGTTGGATTTTTGTTGAAGAATTGTTTTAAAGTACAGCTCTGCTCAAGTTGGCTCCCTTGCCCAGTGGCCCTGTGAAATAAAGGCTGACTTCCACTCCTGGTCCTTTGCCCTTCTGGGTGTGATTCCCCACTCCCCACACCTCCCTCTGCCATATCTGCTGTCCAGGTGCTTCAGTTTCCAAAGTCCTTACACTGCTCAGATGGCCCTCATCTCTTCTCACTCTTGAAAAAGAAATTATGCTGCTAGTTGAAATTCACTTCTCCTCCCTTGAATCCCGTGGCACATGGAATATTTCAGCTTCTTCCCCATGTTCTACAAGAGTGATACATTCATTTATTACCTTAATCCCCCATACAGTTTCCTATGATGAGTTTACTGCAAAAAATGGCACTTACTACTTAACTTGTTGTGAAATGACACCAAACTTCTGAAACTAGCTTTTAAAAATACCGAATTAGCTGGGTGTGGTGGCGCATGCCTGTAATCCCAGCACTCAGGAGGCTGAGGCAGAAGGATTGTTGCAAGTTCAAGACCAGCCTGGGCTACAAAGTGAGCTCAAGGCCATCCTGAACTGCATAGTGAAACCCTGTCTCAAAAAGACAAAAATAGTAATAATAATAATAATAATAATAATAATAATAATAAAAATACAGAATTACAAAAGCACACCACAATTACAAAATTTACTTTGCTCTCCTTGAAAGTTTATCATATTTATCTTCACAGATGAGTCTTTCAACATTGGATTAAAGTTTGAAATTGCATTTGAAGTCCGTCCCAGAAGCAGTTCTGGAACCCTTGTCCATGGCCACAGCATCAGTGGAGAATACTTAAATGTGCACATTAAAAATGGGCAGGTAGTGTCTTAAAAAGTTAACAGTCCATTTTATCTAACCTTGCATCCTGATCTAAAGCTGATTTGTTTCACAGAATTGTATCACCAATCTAAGTAGAAAAATAGGTAAGCTGTGACATGAAATGTATATGTGGGCAACAGTTGGATTCACATTCATATATTGGGAGCTGATTTGATTAGAAAAGAGAGTCATAAATATATCGTAAAGCTAGCAAAAGATCACTAATAACAAAGAGTCTAACAAAGAATTAGAGCAAATATATCATTATGAAAATCAACAAACACAAAAACTATCAAAAACATCTTTCTAAATGTTATTCAGATATATGTATTCCATATATATACATACAAGCATATATGTGTGTATATAGACATATGTATAATTCCCAAATACTAGAAATAATAATTGTAAAATTAAACCATTTTGCCCTAAAATATTACTGAGGAATATTCATGAATGTATTCAAATAAATATTCATGAAATGGCTTGTTTTCCTTATGCCTCTAACTTAATGTACCTGTATTTTATTTGGGTTCTAATACATTCTGTTAAACCCTGAAACAATTGAACGTATCCCTTCATGGTGTTTACATGACTGCCTGCATGCTGTGTGCTATTCTAAATGTTCAACATGAGTTGACTTGTTTAGCCTTCCAAGTATCTCTAGGAATGGGTAACATTATCACTCTGATTTTAAAAATGTGAAAACTGAAGCAAAAAGTAAGGTAAATAGGAGCCAGGGATCCTGGCTTCAAGGTCTGTGCTCTTTACCAATATTTAACATGCTTCATATAGCACAGTTTATCTTTAGCAATCAAAGAAATTTGCTCTTGTATTTCTTATCTTCTCTCCTGTCTTTTCTCCAGTATGATTACTTTGTTCTCCCAGGAGTGCAGCCAGTATAAAATATTTCTGTTACCTACCAGAGATTGACCCCTTGTGTTCAAATTGCAAAGCTAACCATGCATGGCTATTTGTTTAAAAGTGTTGCTTCTTTGTGTGGATTTTTGTTAAAGGATTGCTTTGCTGTGGTAAATTATTTTAAAAATTCAAAATTTAATGTGGCCTGTCATTTGCAGGTCATAGTGAAAGTCAACAATGGTATCAAAGACTTTTTTACCTCAGTAACACCCAAGCAGAGTCTCTGTGATGGCAGATGGCACAGAATTACAGGTGAGAAACCCTGAGTGTTCTTGGGTTCTTTACAAAGGTGAGCCTGTTCATCAGGGTTTGCAAAGCCCTGGGTTTTATCCACCACAATATAAGTAAAAAACAACAACAACAAAGATGAGCCTGCATAACCACCTGGGGGACAGTGGCATGGTCTAACTATCACTTATGATAGGTGATGGGTGACATCTAAAAGGAACTAAACAAAGAGAATTAAGTGTTTTTGCACTAGAATGTATACACTGAATCCATACGTGATTTAAAGCTATGAATTCTGCCAAAATAGTGTTAGTAGTAGTTTATATAATATACCGCTTACACAGTAAAAAAAAGTTGCATGAGTATCCTAAAAATTCTCCCTTTAGGAGGAAAAATGTTACAGTGATTGCTCAATTGGACATTGTTACACATTATTCATTTTTCAATGATATAGAAGAGAGTGTGGGGTTTTATTTTGGAATAAAAGCCATTTTGTAAAAAAAAAAAAAAAAAAGTTTCTCCTATGTAAAAAGTAATCAGTTCAGTGTGAGTTACAGCCAGTCCTTCCCTGCATTTCAGTTATCAGAGACTCGAATGTGGTTCAGTTGGATGTTGACTCTGAAGTGAACCATGTGGTTGGACCCTTGAATCCAAAGCCAGTTGATCACAGGGAACCTGTGTTTGTTGGAGGTGTTCCAGGTAAGCGGTGCTTAATAAGGACAAGTTTCCAAATCCACAGCGAATTCTCATAACTGTTATTATGAAAAGAGCCATGTGTTTGCATAATTCACCTAATAACTCAAAGGATTTTCTATACAATATCCTTTTAAAGAAAAGACACACTGAAAATCTTGACATTTTATCCAAGTAACATATCAAAGCAGGACATGGGGACCAGCATTCTAGCCTGTACATATTACTCCCGTTTCGCCATATTTGCTTGTTTTTCTCTTCCTTTTACATATCCTCCATACATACACAGTGAAACACTATCTCTACCACAAAGAAAACTTGTTAATACTACTCTATGAACTCAAAACCTTGAGAAAAATAGTTTGCTGATCAATGCTTCCCTTCTCTAAGTGGAAAGGATGCAGTTCCCCGTGCCCAGGATATGTCTGAGTTCTGAAAACAGGTATAAACTGTACATTACTTGGTTCCTACATATGACATTCCCTAAGAGAACTAATTCCTATGTAGTAACATTCCTAGGAGGACAATTATGGACCCTTTCCATAAGGATCTTAAAGGACAGACTATGTCTTTATGGGGTTTTTTGTTTGTTTTTTGGTACCGGGAATCAAAATCAGGACCTTGCGCTTGCCAGGCCAGCGCTGTGCTGCGGAGCTCTGTCCCCGGCCCTGTGTGTCTTCATGTGGAAAGTCATTGTTTTTACACACTTCACTAACTTGAAAAGACTGAAAGCTACAGCTCAAGAGAGAAATATACAAAAAGGCATACGTAAGCTTTTGCATCTGGTAGAATTTGATGAAGATTTAAACAATCTCCTAGTTAGAATGATCTGGGCTGACCTATGCAAAGGCAGCCGATGTTTTCATTAAAAGAATGAGAAAGCACAAACAAAAGCAAGCATCACACACTTGTTTCCCTCCAAAGTAGTAGCAACTGAGTACTCCTCTCCTTTCTAATGTGAATTTTTCCAATACCAGTATTAACAATGAGAGTAACTCAGAGGCCAAAAGGAAAATTTGAGACTTTCAAAGAGCAGTCCTTCCTCTCTTTTACTTTCCCCATCCACTTGCATCGCTCTTCCCCAGTCCTCTCCTCCTGCGCCTGGCTTTGGTTCTGAAAGGGACTGTGTGCACTGTGGAAAATGTCTCACGTAGTTCTTCCACTTCTGCACATTGCTTCCTTCCTACAAATCACAGCATAGTTTTAAATATTTCACAGGTTGCCAAAGGTCCACTGGGTCAAATTTAGTACAGCACGCACAATCCTGGATAATCTGCCCCCTCCTTGCTCCTGCCTCTGGGATCTCCCCTCACCTTCTGGACTTCAAGTTCCATCATTGTTCACTGATGCTTTCTTCCTTTCAGGTCTTTGTTCCAGGCCTTTCTTTACATGATTGCACAGGCTTCGATCTCCGGAAAATACTGCTCTCCCTTTTTCCCTGTAACATCTTTTCAAGAAGCAACTTTTCCTAGTCCTCACCTACCTAACTCCATACTGACATTTTGGACTTAGCTCTGAATTTCACTTGCACAGACAGCTTCCCCTGGGATGCACACCAGTGTTGTAGCACTTTTCACCAAATATTGTAGAAGGTGAAGAGAACACTCCTTGCTGACAGGAACATCTAGCATCTATTGTGTGTCTACTAAATACTGTGCTAAGCTTCAGGACATGGAGACAAAACAAGCATGGCCTTCCCTCACAGAAGTTCCAGCATTTGCTCTTCTCTTTTCAGCAAACTTACTTACCATATAACTCAAACAAATATTTCTCTTTGACTTTTGTGTTTGTTTTTAATCCGATCCTAGCCTCACACACTACTATCATTAAGCTCCACGGAGTAGGTGGGCAAGGTGTGCCTAAAACCAAATTCAGCCTTTATGAGACATACAGTGAATACAAATTTTAGGGACTGAATGAGTGCACAAGAGCTAGCAGGCTAGGGAAGTCTAGCCCACTGTACCGCTGAAGCTTAGCTTTTAATTCCATCTCGGAATCATGCCCAAAAGCCTGGAACAAAAGCAATTACAATGTAAGCTGAATGTAATTCATTAATTATTTTGAGCTAGTCAAGATTAATTCCAGGAAAATCACATTAGAAACAAAGGCATTAAGAAGGATGACTAAATAAACTAGGTGTACATACAACCCCTGTATACCTGAATTCGCTTGTAACCCCAGCCACACTTACTGTTCATAACTGTGCTATCTATATCACTAAAAGGCTAATACATAAAGTTCAGAGAGCCACCATACCAAAAGATGTTAGCTGTACTGAATGACAGTTTAAAAGTCAGAATGAAATGTTAGAAAAAAATTCTAAATTAATGGAGCTCGCACACTGGTCTAAGCATATATTTCTCCACTGAAAAGCCTGTATTATTTTATATAATCAAGCCTTCACCTGGGAGTCTCTTAAAATCACATGTTGCATTTGTTAATCAATTACTTATGGTCCTTGGGGCCCTTTTCTGTCACTACCTACAATTTCTGTGATGAATTTGGAGATGATAATTAATACAAGAATTTTTCCTACAGCTGATTTCCTCCATGAACCAAAGAGTAGAATGCTTGACAGAATCAATATCTATGTTCAAAATCCAGCCTCCTGCATGTGAAGTAGTAGGTGTTCCGACTCCTCAGAGTCTTTGCTATTCACGCATTTATTTTTATTCTGATCACATACATGAGCATCCTCGAAGAATACCTATGGTCACACTAATCTAGAGACAAGTAAGGGAACTTGATTTTTCAGGCTCTCCCAATCTAAGACTTCATAATTATTACTCTAAAAAGAAAAATGCTATTTCTACAATTTATCTTCGGTACTCACCTTCACAGTCTTACTCTGCATTGCTGGAAAATCGCACCTGCACAATGTTTACTGTGCTGTCTTAATCTATGTTCTTTCCTGAGTTATTGTTTCTAAGTATTTTCCATCTTTTATCTGATATTGCTCACATAGCTGTTTTTGCATAATTAGATTTGGCGAAATAGATTTTAACTTCATGATATTTCTAAGCTCCCTAATTGCTTTAAATTACATTGCTTCTACCATCCCAACACATTTAATTGTGTCTGTACAGTTAACACACACAAGGCTTCTTCTAGATGTGCAATTAAGACAAGGGGAGAACGTTCCCCCAGCATACCATAGGGCACCTGTGCTCACACCAGGACACAGGTTATCACCAACCTATTTACAGTTTTTAGGCTCTGTATCTTTTCTAATGTTTTTTTATTACTTGTCATTGTCTTTAATAGTTTGCTCAATCTTGCATTCTTACATGTGGTAATCTGAGCAACTTCGTTAAAGACAACAATATGTAATATAACAACCATTGTTAATTCCTATTATCTTGTATGAAATCCTATATCATTTTTATTGTTTTTGTGTTGCTTTGTTTTTGTCTTTGTTGTTGTTTTATTTTTTCTCTGTAAAATAAAAAAATGAAATTAAATTTTTTTAAAACCCCAAGTTCAGAAAAATTGTACTTTAACTTTATTTTCTCATTATTTCCTATGAGCTTGGCACAAACTTGGAAGCTTAAGGGTGAAGGGTAATGATGTAAATTAAACAGAAACATTAACCACGTCCAAATGTGGCAGCCAAAACTTTATTTCTCTTCTCAGCAAAGCACAGAAAATAAGTGAGGCCCAGGAGAAATTAACTCTTAAAACCCAAATTATGAAAACGTGCTGCTGAGGCTTAACGTGTAAGTGGTCAATGTCAGCTTTGAAAGACCCCTGCGATATACACAGAAATTTGATCACGGAAACATGGCAAAACTTTAAAATTAGAATGTGTTCATATTACTTAAAAAGCAGAGGATATTCCTGAGAATTACAGCTGTGTGGCACTGATGACGTAATCATTCTGATGATGAGAATAACTACTATGCATATTTACTAGAAGATATTGTTTGGGCTCCGAAATGACTCCGTTGTGATTTTTCCTTTTTTTCTTTCTTTCTCTCTTCAGAGTCTCTCCTGACACCAGGCTTGGCGCCCAGCAAACCCTTCACGGGCTGCGTCCGCCACTTTGTGATTGACGGGCGCCCAGTGAGCTTCAATAAAGCAGCCTTGGTCAGCGGAGCTGTGAGCATCAACTCCTGCCCAGCAGCCTGAGAAGCACCACACGCTGCCCACGGAAATAAACAGCCAGCCTGGAGGACCGGCAACGCCTCCTTGTGGTGGAGGCTCTCCGCTACATGAGAGGGACTTGGGATTCACAAGGGACTGGACACTCCCCATTTCTCGCTGGAATTCTTAACTCGGATCCAGAACACCTGCAGTGGACAGCAATCGAATGAGGGGAAACTAACTTGTATTGATTCAGTGCACCTATGTATTCTGCCGGTGAAACTGCTGTTCCTGTCTGCAATAAAATAGGAAGGAATTCTAAGTAAACGCTGCTGCCTATTTTTAAAGTTCAGTTACATCCTCATTCTTTTTTCAGGGGCTGAAAACTTTCAAGCTATATGAAAATATCTTTGTCCTAAACTACCTTTTTGTATTTTGAAAAGACTTACTAATTTACATATAACCTAAAATGAGATGATAGATTTATTTTTATCAGTTTTTGATACATCAGTATAAGAATATTTTAAGCTTATAGCAACAGTCATCAGGGTTTTTGAAGTACAGCTCAAAAAGATGATCAAAAAAGTGTTAGAATTACAATATTTTCTAGATAAGAACAAAGGAACATGCAGAAGATCTTTTAATAATATATGAATGGATGCTCTCGTAGGGTATTATTACAATTATTATTGTTTACAGGAATCACCAAGAACACTGCAACAAAGAAAAACAAAATCATAAAATTCAATTGAAAAACAAGAATGTCTTTTTATTAAAAGGTCTTCTGGACTGGGGGTCTACCTCCACCATGGAGCATTCACTTAGCATGCACAAAGCCCTAGGTTCAATCCCCAGTCCACCACCATTACCAAAAAAAAGTCTCCTACATACCTGCAGCAATACAACTAGTCTTATTTCTACAATTTTATATTTTTCCTGGCAACCATGTTCATAAATTCTAGAAAAAGAAAAAGACTTGAATACTGTAGATGGTAGGATATTAAAATTTGGAAAATGAAATAAAAGAATTATACATGAGAAGATAAACTCTGAAAAAAGAATGAGATAAAATAGGCCTTGGTGGGCTGGAGATATAGCTCAGTGGCATAAGCATCTGCCTGGCAAGCACAAGGTCCTGAGTTTGATTCCTGGCACCAAAAAAAAAAAAAAAAAAAAAAAAATAGGCCTTGGTATCAGCAGAACTGATATGAACAAAATAAATAACTATTGAGGGGACAGAGTATACCATATTTTAAAAATTACTAAAGAAAATGAAACAACCAAAAATTTATTGCCCAGAAAGGTTGTGTGTGTGTATTTATATATATTTATATTCCCCTTCTATCTTTTAATCTTGGGTACATAATGTTGATGAGATCATTAAAATAGTTTATATCTATTCATACAGGACTCGCTAAGTTCCAGCTTATCGTGACAAGCTGAAGTTGATTATTATTTCATTATTTCATCACATTAATCCTATGGGTAACATTTGCAGCTCAGGTAATTTGGCTGCTAGAAGCAGATATCTAGACCTAGGAGCCAGGACTGAAAGCCGGCCTGCCAGCTTCCCCAGAGGCACCATGACTGTCCCTTACTTCCTTGCCTCTGAAGTCTACCTGCCTTCAGGCTGACTCTGCTGAGCCCTAGAGCAGGAGCCACAAACTCAAAGGCGACAGACAAAGGCTCCTGCACACAGGAGTGAGGCAGGTGGGGTCTCGCAGAGAAAATCAAGAGGGCACTTGCTGTGGCTCAACTCAAAGGGCAGCAGGTAATCAGCTCAGCCAACTGTCACCATAAAAGATCACAAGTCCAGAAGGGCCAGGGTTTCCAAAACAAGGCAGACATGTAAAATTGGGGGAGTTTAAAATAGCCTGATTTTTCAATTTGTAATTAAAGCAACAATCACCACAAAGGAAAAATACATCAGAACAAACAAAACCTTCTGAGAGCTAAAGACTGGATCTAAGAGTTTGGGGCAGAACTGGAGTGTTCAAAACACACCGAACCCTCATGATACTTCCTCCATCAGATCCAAGCAGTTGGAAATGGCTCTGGTATAACCAACTTCCTTTCCAAAATTGTCCTGGGCACCCTGGACGGCTATTGGATCCCCTTATTCTCAGCAGGGACACAAAGCAGACTAAACCAGCCAAGCTGCAGCCCTCCAGCAGCCCCAGGAGACATGCATACCACTCCCAAATATGTGGACCAAATCCTTAAAACTCTCCCAACTTCTCCCCAGTTTCCTACACTTCTTTGCAGTTAGTACTGCACATTTTTATGGTCACAATTGACCGTCTCCTGAGTCACATATACCTCATAAAACCAACACAATGATCTTCTAAAACTGTGAATTTACCATTTTAAGAGCTTGAATCTGTTTCTCAGATGAAACCTCTTCCTCCCAGCCTCTAAGGGAAGTAGGGTTTTGTTTCTCTTAGCTGAGAATAACATATGAGTACATCACATACAGAAATATGAGTTAAGTCCTCACAGTAATTTTGAACAACTGCTCTGCCAGCTCAGTCACGTCAAAATGAGCAGGGCCTTCCAGGGCCCTTATTTGAAAGAGAAGCCCTACATGTTGCCTCCCATGTTGTGGCCATAACTGACTGGACAAGAAGGGCATCATTCAGTAGCAGTGGTGGCGAACTTAAGGGCACATGTGCCACAGCAGGCTGTGTGTGCTGCGGTAGGCTGTGTGTATCACTGAAAGCTCCAAAAGGTTCGCCATCACTCTTCTATAACTTCCCAGGAAAGCAACATCCCACTACCTGCTATGAAAAGATAGAGTGGGGTAACCCACTCGGGCCCCCTTCTGTCCCTCTCTTGGACAAAAGCTTTCTTTTCTTTCCCTCAATAAATGTATTCTGCTCTTTAAAAAAAAAAAAAAAAAGAGTGAACAAGTGACTATTTTATCTTGAATGTTTGCATTGGGAAGCACAAAGAAAATCAAGCACTTAGCAGTAGAAGCTAAAGCCAAAAGTATCCTATAAGAATACATGATTTTAAATGTTTTCCACACACGTTTACAGACATACACTAAAAGAAAGAAAAGAATCCTGGCATTTCCATTTGGTAAACATAGGATGGTACAGCTACCTATCCTTTGTCCAATAATAATCATCGCATACCTCAGCCAAGAACTACAGGACTAGACACTGGCATGTATTTCTTCTCTGGTCCCTTATTTTCTTGGGTTTAACACAATAGCAAAGGGTATCAAGAGAAACTTTCTTGCTAAGTCATTGAAACAGTAAATATACCACATTTAATTCACCAAACTTTGAGGTATGGAGCCTATCCATTCTCTTTTGGGACTGCTGAGATAAACCATTTCAGTATTATCAGCAGTACACAATCACAATCCTCACACACACACACACACACACACACACACACACAAAGCTTATCTAAAGAGTTCAGAGAGAACTGAACTGTCTAAAACTGTAAGCTACATAAATTTTTGTCTGTGTTATTCACAGATGTGTCACATGTGCCTAAAATAGCACTTGGCATGTGAGCATATGCTCAATAAATATTTATTGAATGAACTTCAGGTTAGCAGGGTTTCCATAATGGTTTTTATGCATACCTCACCTCCTAAGGCACAGTCATTTTGCAAAGTTCCTGGGAGTCTAAAAGAAGGAAAAACAGCATTCCTTCTACATTTAGGTTTTACCGAGACTGAGAGATACCTGACTTGTCTGAGGGTGTGGGGAAAAGACTGAAGGAACAATGGCACAGCGCATCAAGGGAGACAAGAAATACTCCCTCCAGTCCTCAACAACCTGTCAGGTTGTAAAATGTGGGGAAGAAGTCTGGCTCCCCTGCGTAAGCCCATCTAGTTTATAAAACTCACAGCACCAGAGAACACCATTCCCAGAAGAGATGCCGGAGGACAGGATAAGCAGGCAGTGGGCAGATAAGACTGAGGGAATACAGTGCGATGAACTGCAGAACCATGAGAAAGAGAAGCATAAACTAAAGGAATATAAAGTGACGCTACCAGGCACTTGAATCTGTAGGATTTGAGGCTGACAAGAATTCCTAAAGTGTAGATGATTGCTGCCCAGGATTGAGTCTCAAACCAAGCTGGCCGGAACACATTAACTTTACAATGAGCTAAACCAGAAACATCATGATCAGAATATATTTTCAAATTATCATGGCTAAAAACTTCTAATTAACGAGTTTATGTCCAATGACGCTGGCTGATTCCTACATGTTTTACTGACTCTATTTCTGTCTTTTTCACTTAAGTTAAATAGCACAACTATTGTCATCATCCAACAGTGCCACCACTTTTATTTGTTTACCAGATCATAATATGATACTGGCCCATTACCCTTGACCTAGTCAACCCTCCACCAAAGACTTAATGATGCTATTTAGGAGGAGTTTCCCTGCTGCTTGGTGCAGGTGGCTTTCGCATTGTTGCATAGACAGTGATGGGAACATCAGTTATTGTCAGGCAATGACTTGCGGGGCATCTTCGGAGTTGCCTGAATGAAAGAGAAAATGACAAGTAGTTTAGATACTAAAAAGGAAATAGCTTTTAAAGCAGCAGAGTTTGAGTACATATTTAACTTCTCTAAATCCTCTGTTTGTCTTACAATGCCATAAAATAACTAATAAAAAGGTGCTTGTCAGGTAGACATTCTAGACTTATATAGTAAAGAAACTGTGGCTGTTGCCATATATTTGATTATAGAATATTCATAAGTATAAAAATAATCCTCTAGATATTCATTTTGTAAGGTACACAGTGATTGGTAAATGGCAATAAAATGCATAGTTGTAAACACAGGTGATAATTCTGCAGCAATATATTCCTATATACACTTTTAAAAATCACTTCAGTTGAGTGATTTCAAAAGCATCTTATTTCTATAAAAAAGAACATACCATTTTAAACAATGTCCAAATGTAGATGGAATGATCACATTTGAAATAGCACTTACATCTACACCTAGTCCAAAGAACATCTGCTCTCTGAATTACCTTTCCAACATTCATGTCGAATACTCACCCAATTTTGAACACCTCTAACAAGAAAGAGCTCATTACTTTCCAAACTCAGATATGTCATCCTTGAATAATTTTACTTTTTAAAGTAAAAAGTAAAATTATTTAGTAAGCTTAAGTAAGCTTAAATCTGCAACCCCAAAATTTCTAACCCGTAAGATGTAATAATATAGTATTTACAATTTTGCTGTGGTAAACAGAAGAAAAATGGAACAAATGCTATTTATTATAGTTTTCTTCAATTTTGCAAAACTGATTTCATTCATAGAATCTTTATACTGTTTTTGTTTTCTTTCTGCCACAGGGTTTGATCAAAGCCAAAGTGACACTGAATATGAATTCCAACTCATTTTCGTATCTGCAACCTTATGCCTATGGCAGCAGGGTCCTGCGGGCACCAGCACTAAAGGTTTGTTTACTTGAGAGTTATGTCTAACTTTGAAACTATCAACAAAGCAAGCTAGCTCAAAATTCACCAACTAGAGTTGGTACATCATCAAGACTTACAGAGATACAAAATATAGACTCTTATATAAGATTTTAAATAATCTTGAGCTCCGTTAACACCAATTTAATAGCAGCAATGTCTGAATTCTTGGACTTTTTTCTTGCTAATAGTCAATAGTAGTGAAATAGTGAGCGCTTATGCTGATGATACCCAATACATATTTCCTTAGTTGGCAGACAGGAAGATTTTACCTGTTTGGTGATATCTCATTCCTGTCACAGGCAGCGCTGGAGTTCAGCCCTGACTCTCGCCCAACTGGAGAATCTCCTCCTTCCACCGGAAACCTCCTTGGCTGAGTTCCAAACCGTAAAACCATAATTCACGGAAAACCTACGTGAGACACACAGAACAATGGGGGGGGTGATCTTCAGAGTTACTCGAAATTTTTACTGTTAATATTTTAAAAGCATATAAAATATTCTGTAAACAATTTAAAATATCTACAAAGTATGAAATACTATAGTACACGACTATCCCTTACATACAGTTTTAAATCCTGTAACAAAGGCAAAACGGCCAACACATGATAAAAATAAAATATGCCCTGGGATAGCATAACTGGACAGCAGTTAACATTAAGGGACCTCAAGTCCACTTCTGCTCTATGAAAGGAACTTTTTGCCTTTATATTATTTCTCAAGCTGAAACTAATATTAACCACTTCCAGAATAATAGTAAGGATTGAATAAAATATGAAGTGTGATGTTCAGTACACAGTAAGTACTCAATACCTGTTACCTAATATTCAGCAAATGCTACAGAACATTAAATATACATTGGTATGTATATGAGTATATGAAAAATATATGCTGGATACAAATAGGTACACACACATACTCATCCCCTACTGTTGCCTCTGTCAGGAATTTCTCCCATCTCCTGCTTCCACCATTCACTTGCAAGGGCCAACTCATCCACCAAGTTTGAATTTACATTTGGTATTTTAGAGAAGCCTTTCATAAGTCTTATGACCTGAGTTTTCATAGGCACCCTTGATTTCTGTTTTTTAGTAGTTAATGATATTCACAATTTTTCAAACATGACACTACTGACATTTGGGATCGGATTCTGGGGAAACATGACACTACTGACATTTGGGATTGGATTCTAGGATGCATCGTAGGATGTTCTGTAGCATTCATACACTACATGCCAAATTCATCTCTCCTCCAGCTTGTGACAGTAAAAAGCTGTGCCGAATCTTCTGTGGTAGAGGAAAAGGATAAAACTTCTCTCTGATAAGAAACACTGCCCTGATTTTTTTAAGTTCTTATTCAATAACCCCTTTCATGTCTTTGTCATCACTGAATTCTTAATACATAGTAGAGTTTCCCAGCACACAGCAAGCAGTTAGTAACTATCTTGAATGGATTTGCATGTCTTCAGCATTAGCCCACAAAGGTTAGGAAAAATGAAAAGTGTCTTAAAACTATTCCTTATAGCTAGAATAGTACTCTAGGCCTATGAAGTAAATGTTTACAGGCAATGATGAAATAAATTCTTCAGGGTTAAGGTTGTGGTTATGGGAATGATTTTTATAGATGTTGTGTCAATTTTCAAGAAAAAGTGATCTGTTCATTGATGACTTAGTAAAACCATGGAAGACTATGGATTACTATAACCATCTATCGTGTAGGAACTTTTAGCTTACTCGATCAAGAAAGCACAGACTTACCAAAACAGACTGAGTCTGACTCCTGTAGAGGTGAATAAATAAATTGCTTCTACTGACCTTCCATAGAAAGCTGGAACTGCCAAAGGAATGATGGTCAAATGTTCCAGTTACACCCAGAAATTATGACATCAGAGGATTCTTTTACAGAGTTTCATGCCTGCTAAAAGAGTCAAATGTCTCAATTTATAACTCCAGCAACAAGCTGAAACTTGGATAAGAATTAAACATCTCTAAAATTATTTGAGTTTTATTGTTGCTGACACAGCCTTCTTTTCCAACAACAGTAACATAACCCATGAATAAAGACCTAGAGTTTAATCAATCTACACAGAAGATTGCATGACTTTTCTCAGCTTATACCCCATTCTCCTCATTCTCTTCATCTCCTGGACTTTCCCCTAACAACCCAAATTAACGCAACCTATACGCATCCTTATCCCATTCCAATATCTTCAAACATATACCAAGTTGCCCTGTACTATATTCACATGGTATTCTTTACACCCTGGACTCTCTTCTATTGCCTTGACTACCTTTTGTTTCCTTAAGAGACCCTTAAAATTTCCATGTGGCAGGAATAACTGCAAGAGGAAGAATACGTATTGCATTGTCACACTGTTATCCCACTCCCTTGTCCCCGACTGTCTTCCCTGTTCATACCATCTTTGCATTGCTCTGGACTGCTCTCCTTCTCCCAACCAGTTCTTGGCTTCTGTGTCAACAGCTTACCTCACAAAATGTCTGCCCCACTCAGTGGTGCTTAAGTATAACTCTTAAGACATTAAACGAACATTACTCTTCATTTGGTCAATGTTATGTTTTGCATCTAGATGCCCCTCCCACAGCCTCATGCACTTATAAGTGGGCATTTTAGAACTGGTTGGATCTAGGAAATGTGATGTAAAGATGAAGGGTATGTGGTACTAAATTAGCCCACTGATTGGATTAGCATAGTTCTGGGTGTGGATAATGGGAAGGCCCACCCTGTGGGTGTAGGTGGTACCTCCGAAAAGATTCACAGCCTGGATGAGATAGAAGGGAAAGGAAAGATTGCTTCACTGCTACTTCTGTTGCTTCTGCTGCTGCCTGCTGCCTGCTGCCTGCTGCCTGCTGCCTGCTGCCTGCTGCCTGCTGCCTGCTGCCTGCTGCCTGCTCTATTATAGATCGTTTTTCCTCTGTGATGCCCCTCCGCCATGCCACTCTCCATTGGAGCCAGCCAACTATGGACTGAAACCTCTACAAACTGTGAGCCAAAATTAAACCTTTCCTTCTCTAACTTGTGAGTATTGGGTATTTTGTCTCAGCAATAAAAGTAACTAAGACAAGCAATTTTTCAGTTTTAACAACTATTTACTAAATTACTAAATGCTAGAAAATATTTTACTTGATCAAAATCTTTTCTTAATTTGTCTTGTTTTGAAATTCTGTATCACTGTTTTTATTGTTTTTTCTCTTTAAAATAAAATTTTACAAAAAAATTTTTATTACTACCTATATACCATGCTACATTGCTACTGTTGTGTTTTCATGCTTTATATCATAGAAAATTAGCAGTTTTACATCAGAATTAAATTTACATTAGACAAAATCTGACTTGTACCTCTCCCCCAGGTGCTATCTTCAAATAAGTTGATCACCATGTTACATTACAGAAATCTAAGACTGACTTACTGTGTCACAGAGGTGAAATAATTGGTAGCCATTGTTAGCTAATGCATCATTAGAACTCTAAACTCTGCTCCTTGTAATAGCAAATGATGTTTTAGCATAAGAATTAGGTGTGATGTTGACACTATGTTAGTTCTGAAATTCTAAGAAGTCTCTAAAAGTTCATGTGTAAAACTGATTGAAAACTACAAAATAAAATATCTTGCCTTTAATTCATCTCACTTTCCACCATGTTTAACTAGTTCCTTTGGCACAAATTGTGCCAAGTTTTTCATATGGGTAACACAATGAAAACAAGCAGTAGCCTTAATGATGAAGCTTCACAGTTATAGAGTAACACATCAGAAGACAAAATGAACTTGACTCTACAGTAGAAAGTAAAAAGCAATGAATAAATAAGCAGAAACAATGGATTTAAAAGATGGTTAAATTTTTAAATATTTGTATAATAAGCACAAAAATAATAATTTTTTAATTCCCAGGATGCACATTCATGAGATACAGAAAAGGAGTAATGTTTGAACTCATCATATCCTAAGAAAATAGACCCAATAATTCAAGAATATTTTCAAAGAGTCCACCATGAGCCACACATGAGTTAAGTGTTAAAAGACTGAAAAAATATGAGTACAGTTTCAGCTGTGGTGGAGTTGATAGGTTAGGGTTGAATATATTCTACACTAGAATATCAAATCTCAGTGTAAGGATGAATAAGCATTAACTAGATTAAAATGATTAGGAAGCAAAAAAAAAAATGAGACAGGGATGGGGCAGACAGAAACAGTATGTGCAAGAATGCCACGTGCTGGTAGAGAGGACAATGAAAGATCTGAATGCTAACATAGAGTATAGAAAATAAAAAGAAATGCAGTCTAAGAAATAAGTGCAGGCCAAGCCATACAGGAGCTTCAACATAAGTTTACGATTTTAGGCGTTATCTTATGAGCAAGAGAGCCTGCCAACAAAAATCTTTAATGTCTCAGGATATCCATTTAGGTTTCATTGATTTTTCTGTTACTTTTCTGTTTTCCATATACAGTATTTGATCACTCCAGTCTTTACTGTTTCCTTTCCTCTTCTTGCCTTAGCTTTGTCTTTCTTTTTCTAGTTTTGTTTTTTTATTTGTTGTAGTATTTCTTTTTGATACTGAGAAGCAAACCCAGGACCTCGCATGCTAGGCAGAAATTCTACCACTGATCTATACCTCCAGTTCTTTCCTACTTTCTTAAGAGGGAAGCCTAGTTACGGATTTAAGACTTTTCCTCCTTTATAATATAATAATTTAATCCCATAAATTTGTAGCAAAGTACTACTTTACCTGCATTCCACAAATTTTGAAATGTTGTACTTTCATTTCCTTCAGTGAAAATTCTTTTCAAATAGAAATCCATACAAAAAATAGATTGATAAAAATAATTTAAATTTTCCCTTTTGTTTGTTTTCCTTGAGGTACAAGTTATTTACAGTTACATCATTTAATCTCCAAATACTTGGAAATATTTCATTTCTCTGTTGCTTATTCCTATTTCATTTCATTTTTGTCAAAGAACATTCTTTATATTACCTGAATCATTTTAATTTGATTGAGACTTGTTTTTATGGCTAGGATATAGATTATCTTAGCAACTGTTCTATGGGCACTGAAAAAGTGTCCTTGTTATGGTCAGGGGAAGTGTTTCACACAGGTAATTAGTTGGTTGACAGGGTTCAATTTTTCTACAGTCTTATTTTCTTTATACTTGTATATTATTGAATGATGATGTATTGAAATCGCCAACTATGGGCTGGTGGATATAGTTCAGTGGCACAAGCGCCTGCCTGGCAAGTGTAAGGTCCTGAGTTCGATCCCTGTTACCAAAAAAAAAGAAAAGAAAAGAAAAGAAAAGAAGAAAAGAAAAGAAAGAAATCTCCAACTATACTTGTTAATTTTTCCTTCTTATTCTGCAAGATTTTTCTTTACCTACGCTGAAGCTCTTTCATTACATTCACATTTGTTTCATACTCCTGAAGATGAATTCATACCTTTATCATGAAATATATTTCTCCCTGACAGTACTCTTTGCTCTAAAATTTTGTCTGAAATTTGTTTTGCTGCTTTATATTGCTTAATGTTAATATGACATATCTTCTTCTATTCTTTTATTTTAATCTACTGTATTTGTTTTTTGTATCCAAAGTATATTTCTTATAAACTTATGGTTGAGTCTGGTTTATTTTACTCTGATGATCTTTGTCTTTTAAATTATGTCTTTCAATTATTTACACTTAATGTGGTAAGTCTGAGTTTAAATCTGCCAACTTTGTATTTGTACTATATTTGTTTTATTGGTATATTTTAGGTATAAATAATGATCACATTCATCATAGGGAATTCGTATCTGTGATGATATATTTTGATTCTTTATTCCCTATTCCCCTACCCTCCCTTCAATCCTTCTTCCCCTCCTTATTTACAAAAGCTTTGTTTCTATATCATCATGTCTTGTTCTCCTTCTTGTTACTCTGTTCTTTTGGACTGACTGAGCATATTTTAACTATTTTATCCCCATTTGTGGTTTGCTCCTATATATCCTTGTGCTTTATTTTTAGTTACTTTATGGTATGTACGGTATGTATGTACGCTGTGGTGGCAAACCTATAGGATGCACGTCACAGCAGGTTATTTGTTATCATTAAAAGCTCTAAAAGATTCACCATCGCCGGTTTATAACATACATCTTTTTTTCTTTCTTTCTTTTTTTTTTTTTTGTTTTTTTTCTCCGATACCGGGAACCGAACTCACGACCTTGTGCTTGCCAGGCAGGCGCTTTGCCGCTGAGCTAAATCCCCAGCCCCAACATACATCTTTTTAAATTTTCACACTCTGCCTTCAAAAACATTACACTGCTTCACACGTACTAACAGATCCAGAGTATATCCCATGCTCCCTCTCTTGCCATTTATTAGGGTTACATATTTTACTTCTACCTATACTAAAAATGCCATGGCATATTAATTTTTCTTTAACAAATTATCTTCTAAGAGATTTTTTAAAAGAAGTATTTTATATTTACCTCCCTATTTAATCATTTCCAATATTCATTATACCCTGAAGTAGACACAGGTTTTTAGCCAACATTATTTCCTTTATGCCTGAAGATTTTCATTAAACTTGGTGATCTCTTGCTAATTAATTCATCTTTTGTATCTCTTTCTTTCACTTTCATTTTTGAATGTTATTTTAACATAAACTACTATATTGGAACTTTTGTTTTGTTTTCTTTAAGTAGTCTCCAGATTTTGCTCCACTATATTCTGCCTTATAATTGTTTCCAGTGAGAAGTCTGCTGTTACTCTTAGCCTTTTTCCTATAATGTATAGTGTATCTTTTCTCTCTAGCTGCTTCTAAGATTTGTTCTTCATCTCTAATATTAAGCACTTTCATTATAATGTGCTTGATGTAACATTCTTCCTGTTCTTGTGTTAAATGTTGACTGAGCTTTTCAAGGGTCA